AGCATCGCTGCTGAACTGCCCGCCGTTACTCCGCTTTCAGGCCCCCTTTCTTCCCAGAATGTGTTGTCCTCATTCTAATGTAAAGACTCAGTAGGCAGATGTTTGGCAGCACGTAGCCGTGTCAGCAGAATGCGTCAGTCGTGTGTTTACAGCTCGTCTGCGCTTCCCACAAGTAGCCTAAAAACCCTCAATGCATCTAAGGTTTTCTGACTCCGTGAGAGGTCCAATCTGTAAATGAGATTCAGTGATTGTGTCTCTCCATTTGAATACATCTCTAATGTGTCGTCCATCAGATGTTTGAGCAGAACCTGCAGGTGGCGGCGCAGATTGACGGGGATTTCAAAGAGCAGGTTCTGAAGCTCTGCCTGAAACAGATGAACACTTTCCTCATCAGGTAATGTGTGTCTCCATTCGTTCTTTCTGATGTGCTGAAGATATCTGAGAGCATCCCTCAGGAGGGTACATTTGACCTCACGCAGCTCGACCATCAGTGATTCTTCCTGAATTCAAGGTCTTTAAATTGTGGTTCTATGGAAATGGCCGTCATGAGAACAAACTACAGCAATTACTCACGCGTGTGCGTGTGTGTGCAGGTACAGGGAGGAGGCGGTGACGTACAAAGAGGAGCACCTGAGGGACAGACAGCTGCCTCAGTGTTACGTACAGTACATGATTGCCATCATCAACAACTGCCAGACCTTCAAGTAAGCGTCTATTTCCCTCATTATTAACAAGCATGTTGTCCGAGCTGTCTGACCGCGGGAACATTCAGCAGGATGGAATCAGACCTTTTCGGATGGTCATGTATCATCACATGTTCACAATCTGTATATTTAAGTAAGAGGGGAATAAAAGCGTCACTGGGAAATACACCACTATTAAAAACCTTTAAAGAAGCGTGAGTTTATTTATGCGGTGTGGAACCTCTGGGTCCTCAGAGAGTCCATCAACAGTCTGAAGAGGAAGTACTCGCAGTCGTTGGAGCCCACTGACAGCGATGCCGCCATAGAGAGGACGCTCAACGAGGTGGCCAAGGAGGGATGTCAGTTCCTGTTGGATGAAGTCTTCCTAGACCTCGAGGTAAGTGGGATACGATGTCCGCGCCACAGAGTCCTTATTTAACGTGTCGGCAGACATTTGCTACAAAGAAATAACTCCCTGCTGTATTTTAAAGATGCAGTGGAGACGTCCTACAGCCGGGGTATTTAACTGACATGTAGAGCGGTCCAGTTAAAAGCAAAGGTCCAGAAGACCATAATGTGACTCTTTAGTGTGATTAAATAGAGGCATAGAGTGGTATCAACATCTGCATTTAATTGATACACAACCAACAAATCAAATGAATTCAGTACGATTCAAAAGCTGCCAGGATGTTAAACCTGGTCTTAATGCATCAGGGTCTCCTCCTCACGTGGAGGAGCTCATTGCGCCTCATGACGGCGTTTCAACGGGTTCTGAGCTCATGAGACGCTGGTTTAGTGCTGGAGTGGGAAGTATGAACAGAAACCAGTCCGTCCATTGAGGATTAAATGCTTTACTTTCGCTGTCCACTTTTCTCTTTTTGCAGAGTGTAATTTGTTCCTCATTTTTCTCACCCGTCTCTTTCTCTCACTTTCTCCGTCTCACTCGTCTTTTTCTCTGAGTTTGATATCTTTCTTTTCTTCCTACTGCCGCTACCTCAGTTAGTGACCTCTGTCCTACAATGTCCATGTCTGTCCACGACAAATGATCACTATAATCGTTTTCACCATAATAATTGTATGATTTCTATTTTCTATATATTTCTCATCTAGATTATCACATTATTAACAGCAGTATATTTATTACACAGATATAATCCGTTCGATCCCCTTCTCTGGTAGTCCAATAGCCACCATGCAAAGTGCCACCTGCTCCTGGCTGGGTGTGAATCAAAGTTTTTTTTTTAATTGCATCGAACAGCATCACCTGACTGAGCTTCTGACCCGGAAGTGGGTGACTGGCTCTCATGCTGTGGACACCATCTGCGTCACAGTGGAGGACTACTTCAATGACTTCAACAAGATCAAGAAACCCTTCAATCAGGTAGGAGGGGAGATCCCTGCTCCCGTGAAGACATCTCAAGGAGTTGTCATTCACAGCTCACCGCGCAGCTGACTATGCGCCCTGTAGCGTGATGGACACGTCGGCCTTGGTGTGTGCAGGAGATGACGAGCGAGGCCCTGCGCAGGGTGGTGGTGGAGTACATTAAAGCGGTGATGCAGAAGAGGATCACCTTTAAGAATGCCGACGAGAGGCGGGAGGGGGCGGACCGGATGATCAAAGAGGCGGAACAGTTCAAGTTCCTCTTCAGGAGGCTGGCCGCGGTGAGTCCACGTCCTACCACGTACTCCCTTCCAGCAGCATTACAGTTGTAACTAAGAGGAGTTGTTCCAAAACCAGGACGGGAAATGTCTCTGCTGCAGCTCAGTTACGCTACACAGGTACAGCAACACGTGTCATTGAACAGCCGCTCGCTACTGCACACACAACGTTAAGCACACTCGTATGTCTCACAAAACACGCGTGTTAAACGTCACATGTTAGCGTTAGCTGTTAGCAGGTGGAGCGGTTGCGTGGTAATGACTGATCGTTGGGTTTAGGGTGAAGACACAGACCGGCTCTGTGGTGCCATCGCTGCCATCGCCGAAGTGTTCAAGCTGACTGACCCAACGCTGCTGTTCCTGGAGGTCACCACTCTGGTGTCCAAGTATCCTGACATCAGGTACACACACACACACACACACTCGTATTCAACACGTGTAGCCTAAAGTGCGTTCTGCCGATGTTGCTGAAGCTGCATGCATTATTATTATTTATTATTGGGGATAAAGAAAAGCACAGACTGCCGTATGTGTGCGTCAACATGTGTGTTCTGTTTGCAAGATGAATGAGAGGGAGTCTGCACCTCCGACCCATCGTTACTGTAGAAGCTAAGCCAATGCTTTAAGCCACTGAGGCATTTTAACAGGAAACCTTATTGACGCGCTGCTATTTTACCATGAGGGATGAATGAGAGTCTAGTTGCTTTTCAGTTAAGATTCTAATGAGTCCATTTATTTGCCGTCTTATGCTTTAAACCGCAAACCCACAACCCGTACAGGGAAAGTGGGTTGTGTGACTTTATATAAATATGTTTACAAAATCGAATAAAATTATTAAGTGGAAAAGGTAAATTAGTAATAGTATAGTAGTAAAAGTATTAGTATGTCATTATTTTATAATTAAAATTAAAATTATAATTATTTTTTATTATGTTTATATATTATGATGCAATTACTTCTAAACAAAGAAGGAACGACCTTATTTCTTTTGTTCGGGGGGGTGCGGTTGGGGGGTCTTACAATGTCTTTATCCTCAAAGGAGCCCCGACAGAAAAGGTTTGGGAACCACTGCAGTAAACCAGGGTTGCAGTCCAGCATTGTGTGCGTGTGCGTGCGTGCGTGCGTGTGCATAAATGTTGTGACGTGGCCATGAGGTGGTACTCACACAGCAGGTTGATGCTAACATGCTAACAGCGAGCTGCTCCACAGGGAGGAACACATCCAGGCGTTGTTGGCAGTGCGAGGTGACGCCAGCAGGGAGATGCGTCAAATGATCATCGGGACCCTCAGCGAGAACAAAGTGTCCTACTCCGGTCTCACACAGCCCATCTTCAAAGACATCACGGTGCCCACCATGACCATGACGACCATGACCTCCATGGCAACGGCAAAGCTGCTCAAATAAAGGCAAAAAATGACACTGTTTTCCCCTTTCAGACACAAGAATACAAGCTAACTTCTTATTCCAGACACTGAGTTGCTTTGAACAGTTTAATGCAGCTTGCGGTTTTTCTTCTCCACCCTTTAGCCGCTGTTTTCATTGTTCCCCATATCTTGTCTGTGTCAATGAAATAATAAAATTATAAGTGTAATATAATGTAGTACGACTATTATTTAAGGGTTAAAGCATCACAGGATCATTTTCTTCTCTGCTTCCTTCGCTGCTGCTCCTCCACTACAGTTAGAGCTGCTGTAGACAAACACGGACGTGTCCTTTAGAGTCCCTCATTTTATGTCCTGGGTCTCCAGCAGTGTGGTGTTGGCTCTCAGCGAGGAGCGGAGGAGCACAATGGTCTGTGTTTGGGGCTTAGAAGACATTTACTAAAGGTATACTATTCATTTATTCCTTGTTGTGTGTGAAATATACAGCGTATATGCGGTTTCTTTGCTGACAGATGAAAAGGTCTAAAGACTGGTGAAGTGAGTCCAGTGATGGTCAGGAATTACTATTCTAAACGTTACTATTCCAGGCGTTTTTTCTCTTTTCCCACCGAGCGGAAACACATTCAGGAGTTTGACATCATTTTTGCAGGCGCACAATCAGATGAGGCAGTGATGGAATCAAATGTAAATAATATACATGTATTAACGTTTTCGATGTGATGTGTCTTTATCAGGGGCTACAGAAAAGAATGCAATGTTTGTATGTTCATTTGTTTGTTATCTGGGACAATGTATCTATGCACAAATGAAGATTAACCAGATACATCTTGTTGTTTGTGAAGGAGAATGTTTCTTTTTGTATGTCATGTAATATGTTATGTCAATTTACCAACTGTAAGGAAAACATCTATCACGTGATTCCTCCTTAATGGCCTGATTCGCAATGATTTGGGCTGCTGCTCTAATGGGAAAGTAGAATAACTTAATTTGTACCAGATAAGAGGAATGCAAGTGTGCAGTGTTTTGATGGATTCAGGTCCTAATGTTTAGTGCAAAGTACCTAATTGCCTGCGAGCGACCTGCTCCGGCCACACGTCTGCCACGGTTTAAGAACGCGTGTATCACCAGTTAAACGCCAGTAATTAACTTTGAATCACCGGCTTTTCTAATGTTTCACGTCCACGGGGTGTCGTTGGTTTTCAGGGCCGAGGCGGAAGTTCACTGACTCGCCACCGGGTGGCAGTAATGCGGCAGCGGCGATGCGAGCCGCCGCTGCACCTCGAAGAAGAAGACGAGGAAGAAGAAGATGGAGTCAGAAACAGGACGCTGCGCCTAATCAGGGAATCTGCAGACTGCTGAAAATCAATAAACCTGAACCCGTTTACCGTCGGAACGACAGACGGTGTCTCTCTCCCGCGTAGCGCCGACAGCCGGGCTCGAGTTGGGTGAGTTAACCTCGGTGCTTGACAGCGCATCCGTTATGCTATGCTATGCTAACGCTGTGAGCAGCTTAACGCGGGCTAGCTGACGCGAGCGGCTAGCCGCGGGCTACCGACACAAACAAAACGCGTTCGGTGAGATGATGGAGGTGATCTCCTCCAGACAGGCTGCTGCCGTAATGTCGTCCCCGCTCAGGCGGCTCTGCCCGTGTGTTCGGTCGCGTTCTGCCGGGAAGCAGCAGCGACTCGTTCGGACAAACAAGCCAGTTTACGTCGACAATGAAGCCGCACTCGTTCGATTTAACGTCACACGGTTCGGGTTCGAGTCGTTCGTCCAGGTGAAGCCTCGCGCGGTATTTGACCTGCGCACGAGAGCCGAACGGGACGAGAAGAAGGAAAGAAACACGGTCCAGTTGTTGTAAACGTGGAGGCTCCACGGTTCGGTTCTTATGATCAGTTGTGATTGTAAATGATGCCAACAAGCCGCATATTATCAAATCAATCGATCTCGATGATGTTCAACAGCGACGATGTTCGCGTTGTATTTCATCCCTAGTCTTTACCTGCATTGCATTATAGAGATCGTTATTTCAGTGCACAGTACGGGATGTATTGAGTTCAAACCGTAAATCCACCAAGCAAGCGATATAATGGGCGTAATGAGAGATTTATGGATTTATGCCGTGTAAGCGTGTATATTATCACACTATATGCTTGTGCAATGTCCTCTTTGCTGTAGCGACTGTTGGTCCACTGTTGGACTAATAAAGGAACATCTTATCTTATAAGCTTGAGTGTGTGGGGCTCCATAGAATTGACATCTTCTCAGAATTCATATTAAATGAATTTACGCTATGTCATCACAAAGTTATACAAACGTGTCAGTTAGTCTTTACAGTTCACAGTGACGTAAACACAACGTACTCCTATGGAATGGTCTAATAAGAGAAGTCATTGTACTCCACAAGACTCCCATCGGATTTGCGGACATTGACAATTGTTGTTGAAAGTCCTCATTGTCCACTTGATGCCCGTCCTCTTAGCTGCTGCTACAGCAGCGCTTTGTTAAACACACATTGAGATGGATGTTACAGACGTGGGCAACAAGGAGACCTCCGCTAGAAAAGATCCACAGCGAAGCACGTTCCTCTCACACGTTATCATCTGCACTCTTGAGGTTGTTGTGTTTTTCACTTCAAGCTCCACTGGAGCACTTTGGGTTGAGAGCAAATCTTTGCTGTCTCACTTACTCCACATTTATTCAACCGCTCCAACGCACAGACCTTTGACCTTTGGATGGAACTACTGTCCCCATTTTGTAGTTTACTTTCAGACACATACAAGTGGAGGACGATGCATTAGATTCATGTTATTGGTCATTTAAATTTCCATTTAAAAAAAAAATCTATTTACTATTTTTGTTTTAAAGGAAGTCATTTAATTGGTGGCAAGTAAATTGAAAACTTACACAAAATATTAACGTTATAAATAATAATTGAAAATGAGTGTAATTTGATATCTTATTAATTTTGGTCCTTTAATTCAACACTGTTTACATAAAACTGATTTAAAACATGTTCCAGCTGGTACCTTGTTTGTTTCATTATTAAACCATATTAATATTTAAATTATTATTGAGTTATAATTATTGCACACAAAGTATGCAGTCATAATTAAAATAATTCCTGCTCAAATTTACTTTGCTAATAGTTTTAGCTATTAACCAAATTGACTGATTCATTTTTGTAAAGAAATGTACATTATTTAAGCTTGTAGTCACAAGCTGTGAAATGATTCACTCCGCTGCTTTGACCCTTTAAAGTGCTACAGGAAGTGCTCCCCGGTCACGGGCTCCATTTGTCCTCCAGGTTCTCCAGCCTCCACCGAAGTTCCTCCCTTCCTTCCTCATCATGGTGGACTACTACCAGGTTTTAGGAGTGAGGAGAGATTCGTCTGCGGATGACATAAAGAAAGCGTGAGTTGACGACTTCGGCGTGATCCTGCACCGCGGCAGACCTCTCGAATGCAACTGACTGCTGTGCAGCTAATCAATGAGGCTGGTTAGCGCTCTGCGGAGCGTCAATAACAACAACAACTGTGATTAATCTGCCTTTGAGGGGACGCAGCATGCAGCAGCAGAGTGGAGGTGGTGGAGCTGGAAGCTGCTGGAAACTCACGGCGGGTTGGGAATCGAGTCTGGTAGATTTGATCTGTGATACCAGTTCACTTCCCAGCGAGCTTTAACACACGGCTGCTGTGCTCATTCTCTCTGTTAGCAGGTGTCTCTCAGACCGGGGAGGTTACAGTGGACTTCCCTGCTGTGTTTGCTGTCCATCAATCACCAACGTTTTTACTTTTGAACACACAATCTTCACTCCCATCCACAAACATTACAACACACAGACCATAAATCTACTTCGGAGATACAACCGAACATCTGAACAAACCTTTTAATATCTGGCAACTGTGACACGCAATTCACCAATCATATTCATTATTCTAATCATACTCATTTGAGTCCTGTCAATCGAAATAAAATACAAATATTATTAAACATTCAGTGGTTTCTACGACACGAAGCATCCTGCACTGCAGTCTGTAACTTCATCCCACAGTTCAAACCCTCTGTGTTCACGGACGGCTGCCTTCACGCTCAACATCCCCTCTATCCATTTGTGTGCTTGCAAGAAGAGGCACAGTTGTAAAAAGTCTGCAGAGTGAATTCTAGATAAATTCCTACAGGGATCAGCGGGGCTGTGTACTGAAAGTGTGAACATATAAGTAGTTGTTATCCAGCGCAGAGTGTGTGTAGGAGATCAGCTGCAAGGATCATGGTGCACAAGTCAACAGTTCCATTTTAGAGATTTGTAATATTGTCTCTATTAAAAAAAACGTAGAAGAAGATCTACTGAGTTCAGATCAGAAGTACAAGCGCCTGTGGTTGAGTGGGGAGCAGGTCGTCCTCCAATCAGAGGGTTGGCGGTTTGATCCCAGGCCTGGTTAACCCGCATGTCCATGTGTCCTTGGGCAAGACACTTGACTCAACATGGCTCCTGTAGCTGCGACTACAGACGAACGCTGTCAATGACGTTCGAATATTCGCTTTCAAAAACACATATTTGAATATCTGGTTGCGCATTAGACACGTCGATAACTGGACAAATTAATAAAACGAGACATAACTACTTGTATAGGTCATTTATTTAAGTTTAAACCTATTTAACAACATATTACCTGCACAAAAATAAGTGAATTAACTAATGGCCACGACCGCAGATCTCTAACACACACGCTCTTTCTCCCACAGTCGTGTTCTCTGTGCAATAAATGAACGACAACAATAAACAAATGCAGAGTGCTGATGAAGAGTTTTGTGCAAGCAATTTAAGGTCACGATTCTTGTCCCAAATACATCAGGTTTCATTTAGTCATTGAACGCTCTGAGCGAGCTGAGCTGTAAACACGGAACTTTTCCTTGGCATGAAACGGCAAATAATCAAAGCAGTGCATGAAGCTGATTGTCTTTAGCAACACAAGTACAGTCCATTTACCATTACTTTAGCTTTTACACAATCTACTAAGTAAAAGTATACTAACTAGAAATGTTCCCTTACAACGTGTGGCTGATGGTTTTTATCAGTGGGGCGTAGTAATCGACGTCTCCCCTCTGTCTCCCCTCTAGCTACAGAAAGCTGGCGTTGAGGTGGCACCCTGATAAGAACCCTGAGAACAAGGAGGAGGCGGAGATAAAGTTCAAGGAGCTGTCGGAGGCGTATGAAGTCCTGTCCGATGGTTTGTATGAATCCTCTTCACGCCGATTCCCGTCATGACTCCGTACGCTTCCTGTTCATATTCATCGAGGAGAACGCCGTGTGAAATAAGCTGTGACTCCCGTGCTAATGTTCCCTCGTTACATCGTCTCTTTTCCGTGTGCAGATGTGGGCGTCACGTGATAGGATTTACAAAGCGTGTGCTTAAGTGTTTCCTAGATTGTTAAACGAGTGATGTGAAGGTCACAAAAGCTGCTCTGGTTATAATAGAAGATTTTCTCAGTAAAGATGCATAATTAACTCCCAGCTAACGGTCCAGGGGCCTGTTGAGCGCCAGTAGAACGAGAGCAGAAGAATGCTACAATTAGCACTTTTATCATGTTGACATTATTTAGCCAGAACAATAAAGTAAAGCAAGTGTTCTGGTTCAGCCCTGTAACAAAAAGAAGCATAAACACAACTTTTCACGTACATAATGTACACGGTGGACTTGGAGCGACACAGTAATAATTAAAGCAAACAGCATGTAAGTGCTGCTCGGGCCGCAGCAGCTGTCCTCCCTGGAACCAGCCGTGAACCGACAGCACGGTTCCTCTTCTCTTTGTCGTGATTCCACTTTCCTCTTGCAGCCAACAAGAGGACCATATATGACCGCTACGGCAAAGAAGGGCTGACGGGGACCAACGGAGGGAGAGGTGAGCGCCAAACATTCCCTCATGCTGTGTTCCGTGAGAACGGACGCTCTTAGTTTAACTTGAAGCCAACTTGTGTATTTTTGCTCTCTTCGTGTTCATCCACAAGTCAGGCAGCTTGCGGTTGTCATGGAGACTGTTGGTCGTGTCATAGAAGGAACGCACAGTCGGCTGGAATCGTCTCCACAATCGCTGACTCTGCATTATCAAATGCATTTTGGTCTTTCTTTTTGTTCTTGCGGTTGACATCGGCTTGCGTCACGTTTCAGGGGGCCATTTCCACAACGGAGAGCATTTCCACGAACATTTCACATTCCGCAACCCAGATGACGTCTTCAGGGAATTCTTCGGAGGCAGCGACCCATTTGCAGACTTCTTCGGTACGTCGTAGGCTCCGCGCTGCCATTCCCCATCTGCGGCACCGGTTAACCGCACTTCCACTTCCTGCTGTGCTCAGGTACAGATCCATTCAGCGAGGACCCGTTCTTCGGCCGGCGGCACCAGAACCGGGCCAATCGCAGCCGAACAGGCGGCTCGTTTTTTGGGGGCTTCGTTGGGTTTCCTCCCTTTGGTGCCGGCTTCTCAGCGTTTGACCCGGGTAAGACTGTCGCCAATCAATGCATGAATCCCACCACACCAGCACCAAAATGACTCCGTCTCTCTGACTGCCGGTCTGTTTATCCCAGGTTTCGGCTCTTTCGGCTCCATGAGCCATATGGGGCATATGGGGCATATGGGTCACATGGGTCACATGGGTCACATGGCACCCATGGGCAGCCTGGGAGGCGGAGGCTTCACCTCTTTCTCCTCCTCCTCCTTTGGGGGAGGAGGAGGAGGCGGCATGGGCAACTTCCGCTCAGTGTCCACCTCCTCCAAGATCATCAACGGCAGGAAGATCACCACTAAAAGGTACGTACGGAATGTCTCCGTACTCTGTCCCTTCAATGGACGAGTGTTGTTTTTACTATTGGCATTCTGTTACACATATCCAACAAATCCCGTGGTTTCAGCCATTCACAGATTAATAGTGAATAGAGAACAGCTGGTCTGCACGCACTCAGAGCATTGGGGTATTTGAATCTTCGAAATGTCGTCGGCTGTGGCAACTAAATGTGTTGTTGTCACAGCTGAGGGCAGAGTCAAAGATTAGAGCCAGGAGCTTTGACAAATGTTCTTTCAGTGAGTTTCAGCAGTGCTGATCATGTAGTAGTGGTAGTAGTAGTAGTGACGTAGGGCAGACCGCAAACTAAGTATACCGTGACCTCACCTACCGGTTTGTGGGCATCTTGCAACCGATGAGCAGGAGTTATTATATTTGGGACACAGGCGCGTCTCTGGTAGGGACCTGTCAATCACTTTGTAGCCCTGCCTGAAATGATCCCGTTTTATTGTCTGTTTGAATCTAAATGGACCGTAATGTATAACATGAACATCATAAACTCATGTTTACTGAGGGAATAAATGAAGAGAGCAGTAGTCATTTCCTGTTCCAGTGCAAACGTACCTGTGCCATTTCTACGTCCCCTTATACTTCCTCATAATTCCTCGCCCGGGAAAAGCACAAGTGGAGCTTGAGACATCGCTAAAACAACCTGATTTGATCCTTTTCTTTAAATTAGATTTACAGTAAACTGTAGACTACAATTATCAGAATATTATGAATATTCAGGCTCCGTCATGTGAACCACACACATAAAGGTGCTATGAAATGCTATGGGAGCAATTAAGCTCATTTATTTGGTGACCTTGATAAAATCCTGTGATCCAGTGTTTGGAAATATAGTTGAGGACATTCATCCCCTGGTGCAAAAACAGAGGCCATCACACACACGCCACTATTTAGGAACCCAAGCACATTATTGTGTTTTAATTTAGACATTAGACAACATAGCACAACAATTGTTTAGCGATTTGATAAAAGGTGAGCAGAATGAATGCTGGAATGAACTGGATTAGCGAAGGGGATACAGTAATCCCTCGTTTATCGCGGGGGTTACGTTCCGAAAATGACCCGCGATAAGTGAAATCCGCGAAATAGAAAACTTTTTTTTTTTTTACAATTAGCAACTATTACATGTATACAAATACAGTGACTCGCGTGTAGGCCGTTTCACTGCTCTTCAGACTGGGCCGCTGCATCCTGACTGCGCTCTGCAGTGTTCTGCAGGTGTGTTTGTTCGGGAGAAGAACATAGTGATAGGCAGCTGTTGTCGCTCTTTTTTCTTCTTTGCAAAAAGATCCTTGTACACCGACATGCCACCATCGATTACGTTGGAGAACTGTAATGAACGGCTCGGGAGTGAGTTTTTAGCGAATCAGAATGCAGAGCACAATGCACCAAAAAAAAAAAAAATGCAATATGAAAATCCGCGAAATAGCGAATCCGCGATAAGTGAACCGCGAAGTGGCGAGGGATCACTGTATAACACAGAACCAAGCGGTGATCCTGACCGACCTGTTGAGAACAAAGCCACTAGGGAACATTAACTCCTCAGGGGCCGATATCCTAACGTCTAAAGTAACGTGTCCCCCCCCCAACCAGGATCGTAGAGAACGGTCAGGAACGGGTGGAGGTGGAGGAGGACGGTCAGCTGCGGTCATTAACCATTAATGGCAAAGAGCAGCTGCTGCGACTGGAACACAAGTGAGGACGGAGAGCGCCCCCTGCTGGAGAAGTGCTACCTCGGCACAAACAGACCAACGCACGAGCTCGGATCGGAAGGACGAAGAAAAGGCATAAAGCGACGTAATAATAGTGCTCTGCTGTTGTTTGGGTGTACATACTTAGTTTGTTTCCCCTCGTGTCCTCTCTCCCTGCTGACTCTCGTCTGTTGATCGTCGGTTTGATTCCCAGATTAGGACGCAGACATTCTATGCATTTTTGTTAATGTATTTCTGAATTGGAGCTGTCCTTTTACTTTGGCTCAGGGTGGTGTTATTGTTTGAGTGTTTGGGACCACAGTATTGCTCTCATGTACATGACCCCACACACACACACGTTCCTGTTTGCACTCCATGCAATGTGCGCGTGTGACGGTACGCACACACACGCAATGTGCGCGTGTGACGGTACGCACACACACGCACCGCGTTTAGAAAACAAAGCATGACTTCTGCTTTTTCATCTGAATAGTAAAAAAAAAAGTTGCGTTCTTTTTTTTTTTCTTTTTTTTTTCTTTAGGTGAGTAGAAATGACAAAAGCATTCCCTCCCTCCCTCTGTGTTTACTGCTTGTCTAACCTCTTAGTAATAATTCCTTTTTTTATAAAAAAAATACAATGCTGTTAGGATGTTATGCAATTTTATATGTTCTCATAACAAATGTTTATTTAATTCTGCATGTACACCTGTTGATGTTGAGTCTTAATGTTACAGCTGCATTATGATGCACAAATAATGGAAGGCATTCTATAAATGATATATGGATATAGAAGGAATTTTGTGTACTTTGCAAACCAATAAATCTTGAGTTTCATCCTGTTTTCAGGATGCGGAATCTTGACTGATCTCTGATCTGTTAGTGTGCAACGAGAGTGCAACTGTTCATGAACTGTCACGTCGTGGTGGCAGAGGACGGCGCCGGGCCTCCGGTCACAGTTCACTGTGGCAGATCTGGTGGATCATAGATACAAGACATTGTGTCCCAGAACATGAGCCCAGAGGACGTTCCCCTGAAGCTTGCCTTGTCGATATGCATTTTAGCAAACTCCAGTCTCGCCTTTTTATGAGTTCCTTTCAACAGTGGTGTCCTCCTCAGCCGTCTACCATGAAATCCCCTTTGGCTCAAACAGCAACGGCCGGTCCGATCCGACACTGATGTACCTCGACCTTGAAATCCACCTCTTATCTGTTTGGCAGTCGTTCTGTTATAAAAACCAAGGAGACTGGACTGGTAAAAGCTGCTGAGACCCCGGTCCTGAACATCCTCCCAGTCTTATACATTAGTGTATCAGCTAAATTACTCTGCAGCAAACTTGTATCTGCTGCCCCAGTGAGCAGCTCGTTGGTGCTGAGGAGAAAAGATTGCTGTGAAACAACCCGACAACGGACCAAAAGGAGGAAAGTATTCATATGTTGGCCTTCGGTGGTCCACCTGACCACAACAGACTCCCCCATAAATCCCAAGCAGTATTTCATACTCACTCCTCTGGTTTCGGTTCACTGTCATGCTGTTTTCCAAGAAGGATCTGCTTCTCTAATCCCCAAAAAAGAATGAACTATTTTCATTCCAAAAAGAGTTTAGCGCAGAAGTTTTTGAATTTTCCACGAATGTGAGTGACGTGAGCACACCGGACGTCATCGCTCTGGAGCAGTGTTTCTCAACCTGCGGTACACGACCCTCTAATGGGTTGCCGTGGCATTACAGGGGGGTCGCATGGGGAAATTTTGAATTCTATATTATATCAAGAACTTTATTGATAACATCCCATTTTACAAAAGTGAAACGTACACCGACTGCTGTTGCCTCCCTCAACACGAAGCTCAACGTTGAGCCTGAACTGATAGGCTGTGACCCTGTTTTCAAAATACTTGTATTGGAAAGGGAGCTAATTGCTGTGAAAGCTCATTTCCACCACCAAAAAATAATGAAGAGATAGAAGATTGAATTTATGAAATAAAAAACATAAATTCACATACATTTTGATTCAGAGAACGCGTTGGAGTTCTAGGTGGAAACAAACTGTTAATGTGGAGCTGTCCTTGGTGCTGAACGCCTCAATCCAATTACCTCTCTCTCCCTCCCTCCCTTTCTCTCTGCCTCTCTATCTCCCTCTCCCTCTCTCTTCCTCCCTCTCTCATCCTCCCTCTTTCCCTCTCTCTTCCTCCCTCTCTCATCCTCCCTCTTTCCCTCTATCTCTCCCTCCCTCTCTCTCTCTCCCTCCCTCTCCGCCGGGCCGCTGGCTGATTGAGCCAGCAGGTTCTCTCTCTCTCTCTCCGCTGTGACCCCTCATGGCTCTCTGCTCTGCGGACACATTTCTCAGGACATTTGCTGTCCGACGCTGGTAGATTTATTTATTTTCCTTTCGGGGGCCAATATGCGGATCTCCAGCGGTCTTTTTGCTCTCGGGAGGCTTCGTGGATCCGTGGCTGGCGGCGAGAGGAGGCGGCTGGGATAACTAACCGGACCGGGTGCTATGGTGGGACCTCCTGGAGGGGCAAGAGTTTGGCTTTCCCAAAAAATCAGCAGTTTCAGCTCAGGTGGGTTCCTTGGAGATTCTGTTACTTTACAGATGCTACGAGAAGGAAGAAATAATCGTTTGAATAACAACGGCATGGGCAGCTATTGACTATTGACGTGAAAGTGAATTAGTAGAAATATACTTCCTCTCTATTAATTTAAACTTGCTGTGTGCTCAGGTGCGTAATCACGAGCTAAGCCTCATTCTCCTTAATCCCTCCAGAAGGAGGCGGAAACTCTCCCTCGGGACTCTTTTTCATATCTATATATGTCATGTCGAGGATTTAACTTCTCTCTCTAAATGGTCCAGTTTATGAAGAAAGTAGGAAAAAAACTGTGTGTTTTCTGTTACACACACAATTCTTCTTGACAAGTAAACCATGATTTTAAAATAAATAGCTATAGATATATTTAGACTCAAACAATATAAACCGTCTATGAAGCAAACTGTTCATGTTGTAGACATTTATTTTGGAGGGGCAGGACTGGTATTTCGTTAGTAGTGATGGAGCAGCCCTGCTCCTGACGTAGCTGCGTGTTCTGTGTGTGTCCCAGCAGAAGATAGACGAGCTATAATTAACTAAGGCAGACTTGAGCCAGGGGAGACGAAGCCTAATGCCACTACTGGGATTTGTGGAAAGGTCCAGCAGTCGGAGGACTAACGGCCCCCGGAGCCCCTTTGGGGCCCAACGGGAGACACGTGGTTGCAGTTCTTCTCTGAGAGCAGATTCAAACTGCGATTCACTGTTTAAAGATGATATAGTTTAATTATTCAGATGTTTAGTTAGAGGATTATTTCTGTTTTAACATGGCTGCCTGATGTCACGAAGTGCAATTACACTTTTTAATGCATTATAAACATACGTTTCATGACAATAACTGCCTACAGCACTGTACGATTATAGTTCTGTGCACTCATTCATGCCACATCATTTCTGTTAAGGAGCAATGTAATTTATCTAAGTCACTCCCACGTTGTATTGTAAATTGTATTTTACAGTGTTTTGCTGTTTTGCATTGATGTGTTATGTTTTTCACTTTACTAAAGCAAACGATACCACTTAGACTCTCGATCAGGGGTCTTCAACGTTCCTCAGGCCAAGGCCCCCTAACTGATGAGAGATGGAGCAGGGACCCCCTACTATATAAAGTGCATTATATCATGTCGTGGCGCAGGGGTAGAGCGCACTAGAGCGTAGGGTGCACTGGGAACCGCAAGGTTGGTGGTTTGAGTCCCGGCTGCCCCACGTCTCAAGTCGAAGTGTCCCTGAGCAAGACACCTAACCCCTAATTGCTCCCCGGACAAAATGTGAAAAAGCCACGGGTTTAAAGTGTGATGTAAGTCGCTTTGGATAAAAGCGTCAGCTAAATGACCTGTAATGTAATATTGTGTTCATATTATACTGGGCCTAGTGCCATGTATAAACATAGCTACCCTGTTATCGTGCTCTTCAACACTAAGCTATTCAAATAATACACAGGTATTTCATTTTTATTTTTGACATGTGCAAGGTACAGGGTGGCCGTGCACTGCCATTTATAAACATACATTCTACAACTTATTAAAATAATTCACAGATTTGTGTTTTTATTTTAACATGCACATAGAAGGGACAGTGAATCCTCAGGCATCTGTGGATGGCACACATACTTCCACATTAGTGGACCGCCTGGAGGTCGCGAACCCCAAGGAGCTCTAGAGTCTTGGTAATACTTTAGTTCCTCAAAGGTTTGAACTTTAAAGTCACAATAATGTGTTGAGATTATTGCTATAAAAGAGTGCGTTTAACTATGACGATTTGCTATAACCAATATTATTGTATAAGTCTGTTTGATCATGTGACTGCAGAATAAATGGACAGTTTTTTGTAAATATGTGCTTCATAGCCAGTAACAGCGTGTACTCTGGCTGATTATTACTGCCGTACGCCAGTGTTTAACATCAGAGCCCGCAGTCCTCATGACATTGATCGCCACATTACAGAAGGTTGGACCTGTCCAGTGTCTCAGCCCTCTAACCGTCCATCATGAACCCAGGGCAACAATGTGCTCCTAAGCTCCTGTTGGCCACTTCTTGCTCCCCTCTCTGCCCTCTCTGCCTCTCTTCCTCTCCCCTCTCTCCCTCTTGTGATAAAAGTACAATTTGTCATAGAAGAAGTAAGTTGCTTTAGTAGATTGAGGTGTTTACAGGATTCCTGGAGCCCCCCAAAGTAAATGCTGTGATGGTTTAAGTCTGTAGCCTCAGAGGCGATGTTCTAGAAGCACATCTTGGTCACTGAGGAGGAACCACGTCTGATATGGGATGCCTTGTTTTTTTTTCTCCAGCCATGGATCCAACCAGGAGTGTAGTGTTCTGAACCCACCCAGGTGACCTTGGTGGGCCGCGTTACCCATAATCGACCACTGGCGTCACCATCCCCGTCTGCATACACAGCAACACAACCCCCCCCCCCCACGCGAAGCAAACATGTCGGACAGAGGGAACATGAGCACGCTGAAAGTAAACGCCGCAGCTCCGGTGCTGCCCCCCGAGCCCATCGACATCATCCGCATCAAGGCCCGCTCTCGCCGGGTCAGGCTCAATGTCGGGGGTCTCACGCATGAGGTCCTGTGGAGAACACTGGACCGGCTGCCCAGAACCCGCCTGGGACGGCTAAGGGACTGCAACACCCACGAATCGCTCCTGGAGATCTGCGATGACTACACCCTCCCTGACAACGAATACTTCTTCGACCGCCACCCGGTGGCCTTCTCCTCCATCCTCAACTTCTACCGAACGGGGAAGCTGCACATGATGGAGGAGATGTGTGCCCTGTCCTTCGGCCAGGAGCTGGACTACTGGGGCATCGATGAGATCTACCTGGAGTCGTGCTGCCAGGCGAGGTACCACCAGAAGAAGGAGCAGATGAACGAGGAGCTGAGGAGGGAGGCGGAGACGCTGAGGGAGAAGGACGGGGTGGAGGAGGAACACGGCTGCTGTCCCGACAAGAGACAGAAGCTCTGGGACCTGCTAGAGAAACCCGGCTCGTCTGTGGCCGCAAAGGTAACGACATCCCTATTTGACTCTAAACACCAGGTGAACATCATGCTGTGTTGAAGGAGACTTGAAACTAGAGGTTAAGACCATAAACTCACGTTTACAATGTTTACTGAGGGAATAAATCAAGAGCCAGACAGGACCAGAGGGGCCGAGAACGGTTCTTTGTGACCATTTTGAAAGGGTTTGTTTGGCTTGGTTGTGATGGCCCGGGTGGGGATACCTTGGTTTGGCAGGTCCCTAACTCCACCCTCTCGGTTCACTTCCGGCTCTAAAAACAAAGACGGACAAACCGGAGGCTTTAGAAGTGCACAGTCCACAGACCAATTACTGACGTCACGGTGACTACGTCCTCTCCCCGTAAGCAGCAGCTGAGACTGAGAGGTCTGATCGGGTGTGTTTCCTCTTGCCTCTGTGATTAGCAGCCTCATGCAGATCCAAGCAGAGGCATCAGAGGCGTAATCCTCCTTCACCTGCAAAGCAGAGACCCGGAGGAGGATGAGGGGGGGGGGGATTAGTGCTGCGCTGTGTAGCTGCGTTTGGGCCTGTTAGCACTGTATCACACTGTCCTCTGCTCCTCATTAGTGGACGCAGAGCGCGGCTTTTAGGCTTGAAAGGTCAGTGGCAGAGGGTTTGGCTTTTATTTGTCTCTGGTTGGAGACTCCTGCCTCCACTGCGTCTCCACTGCTGGAGTTCAGACACTATTCACAGGGTCCCTGTCACTTGGGGTACTCCACAAAACCACAGCAGACCTACACACACACACACACACCCACACACACACACATGGTATTCACGATATTTCTGACAATAAACATAACTATTGATTAGCGCAATATTATATGTCGGGACGGTGCATTGGTTCAAATAAACGGTTTGGTGTAGATTGATGGTTAACATGCAAAGATGACCTCAGTCAATCATTTACTTTACATGTACTTTCATGTATGAATGTATAAAAGTAAATGTGATTTTCATTTTAGAAAGTACCACTTTTGTATACTAATGTCTGTGTTTATTCTATGGCAGCTCTTCTAAAATTAGATTGGAAGAATAACAAGGTGCTTTAAAGGTGCTCAATATATCTCATGCACCATTGCAAACCATTAGCAACGTTTTGACTGTTGTTCTTTCATAAATGTATGATATTTATTTGCTCTACTTAAAACAACCAATGACTACTTAGAAAAATCACATCACATGATTTATCAAAATTACTACGGGAATTTTAAACTCTGTGACCCTTGAAAAATGCAAATCAACATGCAGACCTCATAAGTCATTATAAAATAATGTCTATTGCTATAAAGCAGGGTAAATATTTATGAGGGCTAATAACTCAAATCATGCATTATAATGCAGACAAATTGTGACACATTCTAAGTAGGTCTATATCGTTGCCTTAGTTATCACAACACGTTACTGCGAGCCCTAAAACAGCGTCAGATGAGGACATAATCTGCTGTATAATCTGAGACACCATCTTTAGCGACCTGACTCTGACTAATAGTCTATACTATATAACTCAATATTCCATCATAAAGAATAGTTTGAATGGTGAAAAGGTTCGCTCATTAGTGTGTCTGCTTCACAATTCAAAATATTTATATGAAGTCGTGCAGAGACTTGTGTTTTTGTTTGAAGACAGGTTCCTCTTGTCAATGTGGAGGCAGATAGACAGCTTCTAAAGACATGATCCATAAGTCTGGTCCTAATTATTAATACACTGCTCATCAATCTGTATCACTTCAGCGAACACAATCCGTTTCAGGCTGTTTACTGGAATGCATTGGCCATTTCCCAGTTTGAGGAAAGGAGACAAATAGAGAAAGGAGAGGAGAGAAAAAAGAGAGAGACAAGCAGCGAAAGACAGAGGTTAGGGTAGAGGAGAGGACACGAGAGAAGGAAAGGAGATGCGAGGAGAGGAGACAAAAAGTAAAAATCCTGTGAAGTGCAATTTTATGTGACAAAAAGCAAGTTCAGTGGCGTTGATATTGTTTTGATATAGTAATTGATTCCCTGCTTGCGAGTGCAGTGTGAGCATCCCGAGGACGACCAATCACAGCTTTGGGTTTAACCAGCTGGTTTTACACAGACCAGCAACCCAGGAAATGTAACGTAATGCAAACTACAGGATACTTTTCAGATGAAAACGTACATACGTTACAGGCCTATTGTTGGTGAAACCGCCGGTTAGATTTAGGCAACAAAACTATTTGGTAAAAGTAACAAAAAACTTGATGATTTGCGTTCAAATAATAACATAAGAAACAACCTTTCACTCAAGCCAATTGTCAATAAAACTTAGCATAACAAAAATAAAGGCATCATTTGCTTCTTATTTCACACGGGACGTGAATAGCGGCCTACTGGGTGACAATCGTGTATTTGACCTCATCCAAATCACCTTCGGATGGCTTTATCAGCTTGTGGTACTCGCTGTTACACTCCATTGCTCCTCAGAAGTAAACGCAAAATGTGACACAGATGCAAAGTTACTGGAAATTGTTCCCTTTGTTTCAGTCAGAAAGAAGGAACGGCCCGTTTGTAGCAGATGCTTATACCATTACTTGTGGAGGCAAAAGCTCTCCTCTACTGGGAAACAATTCAACAAACACCAACATGATTTTCGCTTTAGTTGAATCAATGACACTCAGCGGTCACACACAGGTGGTGGTTTTGAGACAATTGTGGAAGCCATTGCTACAGTGCCTGTAGCGACAATAAAGCGTCATAGATCTTGATCATTAAAATGAAATAGTTGATGATAAAACATTTTATCCAGATACACCTCAGGTGTAATTGCGCTAAATGAACAGCTCCCATAGTCAGATCTTTGGTGAATTATGTAAGAAAGCAGCATCAATATGGCCCCTGCAGTAGCACCACAGGTTTGTGACGTGATAATGTGAGTTAACCGCTCTATAAATACTACGGCACTGGCCTTCAGAGGGCCATGTGACTGGAAGCGTGGTGTCAGCAGGAGGGAAGCTGCTTAAGCCACTGACACCAGCCAGTGACACAGCTCAGCTGCCGACCAATGGGAGCGCCTCCTCCTGGCGACGTGGGCAGCTCAATGCTATCGCTGATTAGAACAAAGGCATTATTTGGCCATTTGGGCAGACACACACGCGCAGTAGTTCAGAGTCCAGATGGGCAACTTCCCATGATAGTTTTTTTTTCCTCCATTTTTATTGGATAAAAGTATTAAATGTTCCAATATTAGAGATGAGTTCCGTACACTTTACATAATCTGAGTAATCTTCTTATGTTTGGCTCTGGTTTTATTTATTCTTTGACATGTTCTCTTTACAATATCTTTAGTGCGTAGGCTTACATCCACAAACAGGATTTTTTTTTACTTCAGGTCTCAAACAAATTTAATTCCTTTGTCTGGACATGTTGGTAAAGTCAGAACTGGTTAAAGCAATAACACGCAATATAAATTCCTCTATCAAATCCAAACTTTAAGTGAGGTTTGATTTGAACAGGCAGTGAATCATGGCAGCGCAATTACAACTAAATGCCCTTGCCTAAACCTAACTACACTGAAACGTATGACCAAGTGTTGACCCTTAGACCTTAAAGTGAATGAGTGACCTCAATAAGTGAGAACCAGCCAAAAGGTCCTCACTCCGTTGATCTAAAAAAATGTATCGGTCCTCACTAAGTAGCAAATACAAGAACACACACAGTATGCCTTAGAAGTATGGCTTAATCTCCTTTGGGGCTTTTACCAGGACTGCTGCTGCTACAAATAGACTAACTGTTGCACGATTAGTCTGTCCTGTCCACTTTCTGACCTCCATAAATCTACCAAAAAATGAAGAGCAACAAGATTACTATCCATAATTCCCCCTTTGATTAAACAAGGACGTCCTAAAATATGACATCCGTTTGCAATAGACTATAAAGATTTAGGGATTAACGTTGAATACTGATGAGGGGGCATCTAGGTATGAGCTGGCCAATTGTCAGAAATTGATTTAATTTAGCTAACAGAGACAAGTAATAGTAAATGGTTGACAACTAGAGACAATCTGTGCAACAACATTGGACAACATAAAATAAGATAAGATAGAACCATTAATCCCTATTAAAACAAATGATTGTTTTATCAATATTAAAATAGAAGAATTACAAAAGACAAAGAAATACAAATATAAACATGTATGAAAAATAGAACAGTCATCGGCAAATGTGAAAAGAAATAATACTGACACAATTGTGAAAACAAGAATAAGGTGAATAAATAATCAAAATATTTAAACCATAAGAGAAAAAGTTAAATACAACAGGAAAGATTAGATACTGGAGAAAAAGTGTAAAGTGTAAAGAAAGTGAGCACACGCTGTGTGGTGCACCTTATGGTCTGAAGTGATTCGGTTAAACTGGAACGTGCTCCTCTATGGTCTGTTTTTGCTATTTGTCTAATCTTGCAACACATTTTTAATCCCAGCCAGTCAAATAAATGACATATGAAATCAGGTATTTGGTCACTGAGGTCTACGGCGCTGTGGGTCCCCCTCTGGTCTCAGGGAGGGTTTGTTAGTCTGGATAGTGGTGAGTAGTTAAATAGGGAAAAGTATAAAGAGAGCTGAACAGAAGTCGTGTATTAAAAACAATATACTGTAAACAGCAGGAGATCACTTCTTCAAATTTCAGTCAATTGCTTAGTCATCTCTTTTTATACAAAATAACTAATCGTAATCAAAGAGCAGCAGGGTCACATCTGATCTTTATAAGATGATGATACCCAGAGGCTTTATTGCTGAGGCTGGGGAACAGAGTGACTCTAAACACTGAGTGCATCAGTAAGCCAGCATGAGGAAGGGAACTATTAGAACAATATTATGTTTAAATGAACGTAATCTGTGCAGATATTACTGAGCACTAGCAACCATGTCCATTAGATTTTAGAAGGCCATTTCCTGCTTCACCTTTGACTTTACACTACTCATTTGTGCCAGTATTTTTGTATCCACAATGGATGATTATTACCAGAG